CATTCGAGAGAATTTCGAAAAAAAAATACACAGAGTGATTTAAACAACGCTGAAAGTCGTCTATTAACCAAAAATTAAAAAAAAAACAAGTTAAAGGATAAATGAATACGACAAAATGTGAATAACAAAATACTAAAAACTATTGCTATAAAATCAGAAAAAAACACTTTTTTCAAATATTTTTTGTCTAAGTTAGGCTTATAAGTATAGTAAATAATCCTTTAAAAACATAAATTGTTAATTTTAGTAAATAATTATAATAGCAAAGTTTTCAAGTTATTTTCAGAAAAAAACATTACACTTTTAAAGTTTCATAATGCGCTAAGGTTTTTTTCTGAGAATCAAATTGTACAAGTCATTCCAATTCCAAAAAATTCCTGATTTCTGAGAAAAAAATTAGTAACTCCATTAGAATTCTTGTAATTTCTACGAGTAGTAATCCAAAAATTACTTGCAAACAATTTAATTTAAATTTTAATTTAATTCTAGAAATTTCAAAAGGTGATGCTAGAGGACAAAAAGTGCAAACAATAACTCAGCTCGGCCTTATCCAAATGTTTATAGTTTCTAAAATATAGTAACAAATAGACAAATATGATCTCTAAGGTTTATTCCTGAGTTAAGTTAATTGAGTTAAAGTTACTAAAAACTTTTTTTTTGTCGAAAATACCAAAGAATTTTATCAAATGTCATTCACTATGTAATCTTTGAAATAAAGTGGTAGATTTCACCCTTTATATTTGAGAAACTATAAACATTTGCATAAAGCAAGTTGAGTTATTTTGACTTTTTTAGAGCTGTAGTAACAGTTTTTAAAATTTTTGCACAACAACGTAATGTATTTATTTATTAAAATTTAATTTAGGTCAATAATGATAATAATGATTTTACTAAATAAGGTACAAGACCTTAAGAAATAAAACTTTTGATTACAAGATACTATTGTTTTAAAAATGACTAAAAGATTAGATACACTCAAATTGCTGTATTTTCCAATAAAACTAACTTTGATAAGAAAAAATCGTTTTATTAAAACACGCAAACACTTTTGATTTTACGAAATATTATTGTTTTGAAAATAATTAAGAAATTAAAAATACCCACTTAAATTGCTGATTTTGTAAAATGACTAATTTGACCTCAATAAAAAACTGTATAAATAGGAAAGCAAGTTGCAATATGCTTGCAGTCAAATATTTTTTGTTCGTTCAAAATGTTACGAATTACATATTTTCTGTTCATCTCTCTTTTCAGTAACTGTTTATGTCTTCAAGATGGTAAATTTAAAACAAGTAATTTTTCAAGTTCACTTATTGATTCGTTACGATTTAGACTACTATTGGCGAGAATATACCTACGGAGAGGTGCCCTCAGATGCTATAGTCGGAGGCCAAAATAGTGAAGGTTTGAACATTTATATTGGACAAGCGTACATACATGGCTATGGTGACATAGTCACTGAAATTTTTTCTGGAATACAAGAAGTATATGCTACTACTGGAACTGGAACTGGAGCTGGAATAGTGAAGACAACAGAAGCTATAAAAGTATGTAATTAACGGAACACAATGTGGTTTTTTGTTGGTCAACAATAATGCTTTTCTAGATACTTTGTGGCCCTCAACAGAACTTATATTGGACAAGAACAAGTACTTCTGCTGTTCACTCACTACTTGTTAATCATGATGCTGTAATTGGTGGATATCAACTCTATTCTAACGAAACCCGTGGTACATTAAGCATTGGAAGAACCACTGCACAAAATAAAATCGGAAGAATTGATACTTTTCACCAATATCCTCATTTATACTTTAATAATAATACACAAGAGGGTGAKGTAACAGAWTTTGAAATACTTTTATACAACAAAAATAAAAATATAGACAGTAAGTCCGATAACAACAGCAAAAAATAGCCAATGTGTTTTAAAAGCTAAATTACAGTAGTAATCTAGTGTATTAAAAAATAAGGTTTAGTAGATAATAAATGGCTACTTATTTTGAAATGTTTCATCTAAGCTTTTCTTGTATAAAAAAATAAACAAACAAAAACTGACTTCAAAGCTTATTAGAAAAAATTAACTAGTTATTTGGCAAGAAAAAGTCAAAAAAAATTTACTTATTTGAAAATATACTTATGTCTTTTATTCTAAAATGTTAATTTCACAAGTAATTATTAATATAGTTTTCAGAAACAAACATTACTCTTCCAAATCATCGTAAAACAGTTTTTTGTGAGGCCTACAACTTTTAAAAAAATGTGATTCCAATTCCAAAAAACTTTGCGAAAATTTATGACTTCTGAGAAAAAATCCAGTAATTCTAAAACAATACTTAAAAATTACTTCCAAATAATTTTATTTATCCGCAAACGTCAAAAAAATGACACTTTTATGACTAAATGACACAGGTAAAAGTTTTACTTCTCAGACATGGAGTAAACACACCTTTTTTCCGCCTAGGCGTTTTCACTTTTACTTGACACTTACTTTGACATTTATCACTGTTGTCTCTTTCTTGTCTCTTTCGCTTTTTCAGCATTTTCTGGAGAGGTACAAGGTAGATTAGCAGCATTCGACATTTTGCACTATAAAGTACACAAGTTATTCATCAGTTAAATCAATCAACACTTCCGAAAATCTCAACACAAATTCCGAAACTGACGCGTGACGTTTGTTATGATTTTATTGCAAAGCGTCCTGATTATAGAGCTGATTTACTTGATTATTGGTGTGTTGCTCTTTTCTCTCCATCTGAATCGTTTGCAGATAAAATAGTATATGTTAATTGGGGAAAAAAGTGAGTTTTCTTGGGCTTTTCAAAAAGACCAATTATTTTTTTAATTGGTTGTTTTGTGATGTTTATTATTGCTCCAACACAGATTGATGATCGTTCAGAGAAAAAAAATTGAACAAACCAGTCGTGTAATAGTATATTACAAAACGAGCGTATAATAACCATTATACGCCAGTAGTATACTATACTTTATCTACGACTACTAAATATTTTTGTTAAAGCTTTTTTGTTGGAAAATTTTGTTACATTAAGTATGTTAAGAAACAGATATACGACACACACATTCAAAGTTGGTAATGGCTCTGTGTCGATGCTGGTTGCCTTCCAATTTTTTTTTTATATGTACAGAACTGAATTGAAAATATTTAGTGGTTTACACGATGACATTTTAAAAACCAATAATTTATTGTAGCAAAGCAATATAATATTATAGCTAAATCAAGGAAGCTTCTGACAGCAGTGATTAATGACTCATTAATCACTGCCGTGATTAATGGGTATTAGTGATTAATGAGTCATTAATCACTGCTGTGATTAATGGGTATTATTAAGATCGAGCAAACAGACCTATAAAGGGTACATTATGCAATAGTCGTGGATAAAATAATTAATTTGAAATCTATTTTTTTAAAAGCATTGTATAAATATCAAAACAAGTTGCGTCAAACATTTTTTGTTTGTTCAAAATGTTACGAATTACACATTTTCTGTTCATGTTTTTCTTGAGTAACTGTTTTACCCTTTACCCCAAATCCTTAGATCTTCTATAATGATAATTTAACAGAGTGGTCAACAAACGTTTATGATATACTTTTATACAAGAAGAATTAAAAATAGAGATAGTAAATCAGCTAACAACAGCAAAAAAATCCAATGCGGTCCAAAGGCTAAATTACAGTAGTAATCAACAATGTAAAATATTAAATTAAATTAAATAAAAAAAAAACTGACATCAACGCGTGTTAGAAAAAAGTGCTAGTTATTTTGCAAGAAAAAACCTAAAATTTTAAATTTATTTGTAAATACTCTTTAATTATAAGTTATAACATTTCTGTTATAACATATTCATTAAAAAAATATATTGTTATTTTAACAAGTAATTATTAATATAGTTTTTAGGATATTTTCAGAAACAATCATTTTTAAAACTTTTGAAAAAATGTAGGTAATTTAAATTTCAAAAAAAATACGGAAATTCATGATTTCTAAGAAAGAAGCTGGTATTTCAAAAACAATACTTTCTAGTAATCAAATAATTACTTTCAAATAATTTCATTTTAATTTTAATTAAATTCTAGAAGTTTCAAAAGGTGATGCTAGAGGATAAAAAATGTAAAAAATGACTCAACTCGCCTTATCCAGTTAGTTTCTGAAATATAGAGACAAATAGAAAATATAATCTTTAAGGTTGATTTTTGAGTTGAGTTAATTGAGTTAAAATTAACAAAAACAGTTACAGAAAAAGTTTTATTATAAAAATAATTTTGCATTAAATTCTTTTGTCGAAAATACTAAAGAATTTCGCCAAATGTCACCGACTCTGTAATTTTTTGAAATAAAGTGCAAAAGTTAGTTTATATTGCATTTTTTGACGCTAAAAGAGAGATTTTACCCATTATATTTTAGAAACTATAAACATTCGCATAAGACAAGTTGAGCTATTTTAACTTCTTTGGATCCTGTATTTACTTGTTAAAACTTATTTTAAGTCAATAACAATAATAATGATTTTACCGGGCAACCCTGTTATAAAAAAAATGTAAAAAGTCCCCATCGATCCCACATCTGCAAAAAAAGTTATTCAAGATCAAAGGTTGCGAAAATGTTTTTTTTTACATTTTTCAGCCAAACGGTAAGTTTTATCATAAAAATACATTAGATAAAAATTATAGAGCATGCAATTCTCTATAAAAAATGTCTTCACATTTTTTTCTTAAGAGCAACCATTTCTGAGATATAGCAATTTAAAAAGTTGTGTTCTTCATATATGAACACGTTATGAGGTAGTGTACTTGGCGCGTTTTTTTAACTGGTTTCCCCGGTAGGCCTATTTCACGATCTATTGAGGTTCTTTTTTAGGCTTTATGCGAATTATTGAATGTGTTGATTGCCCGGACTATAGGTAAATAATAAAGTGTAGATAAGAAATTGTTTCATCAAAACACAATAACTTAAGATTACAAGATACTATTGTTTTAAAAATGATTAGAAGATAAGATACACTCAAATTGCTGTATTTTCTAATAAAACTACGTAACTTTAACTAAAATGTTACAAATTACACTTTTTTTGTTCATCTCTCTCTTCAGTAACTGTTTATGTCTTCAAGATGGTAAATTTAAAACAAGTAATTTTTCAAGTTCACTTATTGTTTCGTTACGATTTAGACTACTATTGGCGAGATTATACCAACGGAGAGGTGCCCTCAGATGCTATAGTCGGAGGCCAAAATAGTGAAGGTTTGAACATTTATATTGGACAAGCGTACATACATGGCAAGGGTAACATAGTCACTGAAATTTTTTCTGGAATACAAGAAGTATATGCTACTACTGGAACTGGAGTTGGACCTGGAATAGTGAAGACAACAGAAGCTATAAAAGTATGTAATTAACGGAACACAATGTGGTTTTTTGTTGGTCAACAATAATGTTTTTCTAGATACTTTGTGGGCCTGGACAAAATTTATATTGGACACGCACAAATAGAAATACTGTTCACTCACTACTTGTTAATCATGATGCTGTAATTGGTGGATATCAACTCTATACTAACACAACCCGTGGTACATTAAACATTGGAAGACACATTGCACATAATAAAATCGGACGAATTGATACTTTTAACTTATATCCTTATTTATACTTTAATAATAATACACAAGAGGATTTTGAAACAACTTTTGAAATACTTTTATACACCAAAAATAAAAATATAGATAGTAAATCCGATAACAATAGCAAAAAATAGCCAATGTGTTTTAAAAGCTAAATTACAATAGTAATCAACAGTGTATTAAAAAATAAGGTTTAGTAGATAATAAATGGCTACTTATTTTAAACTTCGTTTTATCTAAGTTTCCCTTATACAAAAAAATTAAACCAAAAAAAAAACTGACATCAACGCGTATTAGAAAATAGTGCGAGTTATTTTGCAAGAAAAAGTATACTATTTTAAATTTATTTGTAAATACTCATATCTTTTATTCTAACTTTTCTGTTATAACATGTTCATTAAAAAAGTATCTTGTTAATTTCACAAGTAATTATTAATATACTCGTAGTTTTCAGCAGTGGCGGCTCGTCAGGGGCGGCAACATAGGCAGTGCCTATGCGATACGATGAAAGTCGTCTATTAACTAGAAATTAAATAAAAACAAGTTTAAAGATAATGTAAAGGTAAAAAAAAATAAATCAAACAAAACAAAATACAAAAAACTAGCTATAAAATTAGAAAAAAACCTGTTTTTTTTAAATATGTCTTATCTAAGTTAGGCTTATATAGTAAATAGTCAGAATTGAAAAAATTATTTTATTGAAAAAATAAAATAAAATAATACAACAAAAATTTAATTTAAAAACACATATTATTGTTAATTTCACTAATTAATTATTAATAGAAAAGTTTTCAGGCTATTTTCAGAAAAAATCATTACACTTTTGAACATCGTAATGCACTAAAGTTTTTCCGTCGTTCCAATTCCAAAAATTCCTGATTTCGGAGAAAAAAAAATAGTAATTCCACCACAATTCTTGTAATTGCTAGTAATCTAAAAATTACTTGCAACCAATTTTATTTTAAGACTAATTAAATTCTAGAAATTTTAAAAGGTGATGCTAGAGGATAAAAAATGCAAGAAAAAAACTCAGCTCGCTTTWTCCAAATGTTTATAGTTTCTGAAATTTAGAAATAAATAGACAAATTTGATCTCTAACGTTTATTCTTGGGTTGAGTTAATTGAGTTAAAATTAGCAAAAACAGTCACAGAAAAAGTTTCATAAAAATAATTTTTAACTAATTTTTTTTGTTGAAGACACCAAAGAATTTCGACAAATGTCACCGAGCATGTAATCTTTGAAATAAAGTGCAAAGGTTAGTTTATATTGCATTTTTTGACGCCAAAGAGAGATGTTACCCTTTATACATATTTCAGTTATTTTGACTTCCTCACCTTAGGAAAATTTTTACACAACTATGTAAATCGTCCTGTATTAATTTTAAGTYACTAATAATAATAATGATTTTATTACATAATATAGTGTAGATAAGAAATTGTTTCATTAAAGCACAATAACTTTCAATTACAAGAAACTATTGTTTTAAAAATTATTCAAAAATTAGATACACTCAAATTGCTGTATTTTCCAGATATTTAACTTTGATAAAAAAAATCATCTTACTAAAACACTCAAAGACGTTTGATTTTACAAGATATTATTGTTTTAAAAAAATTAAAAGTACCTATTCAAGTTGCTGATTTTGAAAAATGATTATTTTGACATCTACATATTCTTGTTAAAGCACTATATAAGTATAAAAACAAGTTGCAATATGCTTGCAGCCAAACATTTTTTTTTGTTCAAAATGTTACGAATTACACTTTTTCTGTTCATCTTTCTCTTCATTAACTATTTATGTCTTCAAGACGGTAAACCTAAAACAAGTAATTTTTCAAATTCACTAATTGTTTCGTTACGGTTTAGACTACTATTGGCGAGAATATACCAACGGAGAAGTGCCCCCAGATGCTATAGTCGCAGGCCAAAATAGTGATGGTATAAACATTTATATTGGGACAAGTGTACATAGACAACCATGGTCTCATGATCGGTGAAATTTTTTCTGGAATACAAGAAGTATATGTTCCTATTAACGGAATAAAAAAGGCAACAGAAGCTACACAACACAAAAAAAGACATCAACGCGTATTAGAAAAAATTGCTAGTTATTTTTCAAGAAAAAGTATACAATTTTAAATTTATTTGTAATACTCATGTCTTTTATTCTAACTTTTCTGTGTTATGTTCATTAAAAAAAATATATTGTTAATTTTACAAGTAATTATTAATATAGTTTTCAGGCTATTTTCAGAAACAAACATTACTCTTTCAAATCATTGTAAAATTAATGATTTCTGCAAAAAGACTCAGTAATTCCAAAACAATAATTTTTTTAGTAATCTAAAAATTACTTCCAAATAATTTCATTTTAATTCTAATTAAATTCTAGAAATTTCAAAAGGTGATGCTGGAGGATAAAAAATGTAAAAAATAATTCAGCTCGCCTTATCCAAATGTTAATAGTTTCTGAAATATAGAGACAAATAGACAAAAAAACTCTGAGGTTGATTCTTGAGCTAAGTTAATTAAGTCAAAATTAGCAAAAACAGCTACAGAAAAAGTCTCATTATAAAAATAATTTTGCATCAAATTCTTTTGTCGAAAATACCAAAGAATTTCGTCAAATGTCACCGACTAAGTAATTTTTGAAATAAAGTGCAAAAATTAGTTTATATTGCGTTCTTGACGCTAAAAGGGAGATGTTACCCTCTATATTTCAGAAACTATAAACATTCGCATAAGACAAGTTGAGCTATTTTAACTTCTTTGGAGCTGTACTAGCACCTCTTAAAATCTTTGCACAACTATGTAAATCATCCTGTATGAATATGTTAAATTTTATTTTAAGTCAATAATGATAATAATGATTTTACTAATAGTTCGGGCAAATTAGCTTAAAAAAAGTCCACACACTTTGAACTAAATAATTTATTTCTAATTTAAAAGAATTTAAAATACTTTAACTTCAAAAAAATCATTACTCAATAACTATTATACCGATTTTCTTCAAATAAAGACCATTCTAAAGGTATGAACTTGTCGTTTAGAATGATATAAAATTTGAAATTGAATATTGGCAAACTTTTCTTAAAACAGTGTTTGAAGAAGTTTAAAGTAAATCGAAATAATCTAAAAAAACCCTAGAAGTAATTTTTTTTTTCATCATTACCATCGTGTAGAGTATCTCTTTATTAGTTATAATCTAAATTTTTAAAAGAATATACCGAGTAGTTTTCAAGATATGATTTTTGAAGTTAAGATTTGCTAATCAAGTAGGAGAAATGCATGTTAATCTTACTTAAAATTGCATTTTGTCTTTGTATTTGTTTAAAAATGGTCAATTGCACCTTCCTTGTTCAAATTAGAATAAACAAAAACTCTTTCTTTACTTAAAACAAACAAAGAGTACCTGTGTACTAATTAAAGCAACAACAATTACTTGTACCCAGCAGGAAGATGAAGAAGAAGAAGAAGAAGAAGAAAGAAAAGAAGAAGACGAAGAAGACAGTACACTTGAAGTACCATCAGATAACTATCAATCAGACGAATAATTTTCCTCATTATTATTCATAATTTACATCGCTTTTATCATCTTCAATAGTACCATTTGTCATTAGATACAATATTTTTTAATTAAACAGAACCTCAATAGATCGTGAAATAGGCCTACCGGGAAAACCACGTTAAAAAAACGCACCCAAGTACACTACTTCACAAGTGTCGTGGAAACGTGGGCATAATATGAAAAACACAACTTTTTAAATCGCTATATCTCAGAAATGGTTATTCTTAGGAAAAAAAAGTATATAACCATTTTTATAAAAAATTGCATGCTCTATAATTTTTGTCTGATGTATTATTATGATAAAACTTACCGTTTGGCTGAAAAATTGAGAAATGCAGGATCGATGGGGACTTTTCATAATGGGGTCCCAACATTCGTACCAATTTTCAGCTTTAAGCAAATTATTGTAACCTAGAATGGGTTCATTGCCCGGACTATAGGTAAATAAAATAGTGTAGATAAGAAATTGTTTTATCAAAGCACAATAACTTTAGATTACAAGATACTTTTGTTATAAAAATGATTAAAAGATTAGATACACTCAAATTGCTGTATTTAAACTAATTTTGATAAGCAAAAATCGGTTTAGTAAAACACGCAAAAACTTTTGATTTTACGAAATACTATTGTTTTGAAAATAATTAAGGAATTAAAATTAAGTACCTACTTAAGTTGCTGATTTTGTAAAATGACTAATTTGATATCTTTTTTTGTTAATACGCTGTATAAATATCAAAACAAATTGCAATATGCTTGCAGTCAAACATTTTTGTTTGTTCAAAATGTTACGAATTACACATTTTTTGTTCATCTTTCTCTTCAGTTGCTGTTTATGTCTTCAAGATGGTAAAGTTAAAACAAGTAATTTTTCAAGTTCACTTAATGTTTCGTTACGATTTAGAATACTATTGGCGAGATTATACCAACGGAGAAGTGCCCCCAGATGCTATAATCGGAGGCCAAAATAGTGAAGGTGTAGACATTTATATTGGACAAGTGTACATCCCAAACAATGGTCTCCTGATCGGTGAAATTTTTGCTGGAATACAAGAAGTATATGTTCCTATTAAGGGAGTAAAGAAGGCAACAGAAGGTATAAAAGTATGTAACCAACAGAACACTATATGGTTTTTTGTTGGATAACAATAATGTTTTTCTAGATACTTTGTGGCCCTCAACAAAGCTTATATTGGGAATATGCAAATAATTCTACTATTCATTCACTACTTGTTAATCATGATGCTGTAATTGGTGGAGTTCAATTCGACTCTGACACTTCTCTTGGTACAGTACACATTGGAAGATTAACTTCACATGACAAAGTTGGAAGAATTCCTAGCTGGGCCGAAAATCCTTGGATGTCCTTTTATGATACTCAAACAGAGTGGTCAACACCAGTTTATGAAATACTTTTATACAAAAAAAAATAAAAATAGAGATAGTAAATCCGCTAACAACAGCAAAAAATATCCAATGTGTTCCAAAGGCTAAATTACAGTAGTAATCAACAGTGTATTAAAAGATAAGGTTTAAAAGATAATAAATGGCTACTTATTTTAAAATTTGTTTTAACTCAGTTTCCCTTTTTGCAAGAAAAAGTCTAAAATTTTAAATTTATTTGCAAATACCCTTTAATTCTAACATTTGTGTTATAACATGTTCATTAAAAAAACATATTGTTAATTTCACAAGTAATTATTAATATAGTTTTCAGGGTATTTTCAGAAACAAACATTACTCTTTGAAATCATTGTAAACCAGTAGAGTTTTTTCTTTAACTTTTAAAGAAACTAAATTGGAAAAATTCATGATTTCTGAGAAAAAAATCCAGTAATTCCAAAACAATACTTTCTAGTAAACTAAAAATTATTCGAAATAATTTCTTTTTAATTCTAATTAAATTCTATAAATTTCAAAAGGTGATGATAGAGGATAAAAAATGCAAAAAATAACTTAGCTCGCCTTATCCAAATATTTATAGTTTCTAAAATATAGAGACAAATAGACAAATATGATCTTTAAGCTTGAGTTCAGCCAAAGAAAAAGTTTCATTATAAAAATAATTTGGCATCAATTTTTTTGACGAAGATACCAAAAAAAATTATCAAATGCCACCGACTATGTAATCTTTGAAATAAAGTACAAAAGCTAGTTTACCTATATTGCATTTTTTGACGCTAAACGGGAAATTTCACTCTTTATATTTCAGAAACTATAAACATTGTCATGAGACAAGTTGAGTTATTTTGACTTCTTTAGAGCTATAATACCTCTTACAATTTTTGCACAACGATGTAAATCGTCCTGTATTTATTTGTTAAAATGTTATTTTAAGTCATTAATGATTTTAATAAATAAAATAGTGTAGATAAGAAATTGTTTCATTAAAACACAATAACTTCCGATTACAAGATACTATTGTTTTAAAAAATATTAAAAGATTAGATACACTCAAGTTGCTGATTTTGTAAAATGAATAATTTGACATCTATTTTTGTTCAAAGACTGTATAAATATCAAAACAAGTCGCAATATGTTTGCAGTCAAACATTTTTCGTTCGTTCAAAATGTTACGAATTACATATTTTCTGTTCATCTTTCTGTTTATGTGTTCAAGATGGTAAATTTAAAACATCTAATTTCTCAAGTTCACTTATTGTTTCGTTAAGATTTAGACTACTATTGGTGGGATTATACCAATTTTTTCAATAATTCAGAAACCATTGTAGATAAAATTACAAAATTTGATAACCTTTATACAACCACACGAATTCAAAGATAAAATGTTGAAATTTTTACTCAGGGGCGTCTTAAACTGTAAAAAGTACCCTAACTATTTTAGCTGTTGGTTTTTGCCACTTTCAGGCACAAAATTCTAAATTCCATAGTTTTTCACAAAAAGAGGTCTCTTGCGTTTTTTCGATACAACTTACCGTTTTAGAGTAAATTCAGTTTACAATATGTGTTACAGACCATAAAGAGAATAAAAATTAAAAAAATTAAATTAAAAAAAAATTAAATTAAAAACGAATTTGATGTCAATTTTTTTGTTTAATCTTTTTTACAAGGGAAACTTAGATAAAAGAAATTTTAAAATAAGTAGCCATTTATTATCTATTAAACCTTATTTCTTTATTACACTGTAATTACACTGTAATTTAGCCTTTGGAACACATTGGCTATTTTTTGCGGTTGTTAGCGTATTTTTATTTTTTTTTGTACAAAAGTATTTCGAAAAATGCTGTTGACCACTCTGTTAGATTATCATTAAAGGACAACCAAGGATTTTCGTCAATGGTAGGTATCGTTCCGATGTGGTCATGTGTATTCGTTCTACCAATGTTTATGGTACCATGGGATCCGTCAGAGTTCTTTGCGTACCCACCAATTACACCATCATGATTAACAAGTAGTGAGTGAAGAGTAGAATTAGTTGTCTCTACCCAATATAAGTTTTGTTCAGGGCCACAAAGTATCTAGAAAAACATTATTGTTGACCAACAAAAAATCTGTTAGTTACATACTTTAAAAACAAAACGATTTTTTCTTAACAAAGTTAGTTATCTCGGAAAATAACCAATTTGAGTGCAACTATTTTTTAAATAATTTTCAACACAATAGTATCTTGTAATTGAAAGTTATTGTGTTTTAATGAAAAACATTCTTATCTACACTACCTTGTTCAGTAAAATTATTATTATCATTATTAACTTAAAACAAAATTTTAATAAATAATTACAAGACTATTTACATAGTTGTGCAAAAATTTTAAGAAATGTTAGTACAGCTCTAAAAAAAGTCACAATAACTCAACTTGCCTTATGCGAATGTTTAGAGTTTCTGAAATATAAAGGTTGAAATCTCCTTTTTAGCGTCAAAAAAATGCAATATAAACAATTTTTGCACTTTATTTCAAAGATTACATAGTCGGTGACATTTGATACAACTTCGACAAAAAAAATTGATGCAAAATTATTTTTATAATGAGACTTTTCCTGTGGCTGTTTTAGCTCAATTAACTCAACTTGAGAATAAATCTTAGAAACCATTCTCTAGCATCTTTTTGAAATTTCTAGAGGCAAAATAAAATTATTTGGAAGTAATTTTTAGATTACTAGAAAGTATTGTTTTGGACTTACTGGATTTTTTCTTAGAAATCATAAATTTGCCCAAAATTTTTTGTAATTAGATATACATTTCTTTTAAAGTTTAAAAAAAACTTTACTGCTTTACAATGATTTTTTTAATGAACTTGTTATAACAGAAAAGTTAGAATATAATACTATAAATCACTCGTTTGTCAGCTATAAATAAAAAAAAAATTCTCCAATTAAAAAAACCACAAAAACATTTCTTGGGCTTTTCAAAAAGACCAATTATTTTTCTAATTGGTGTTTTGTGATGTTTATTATTGCTCCAACATGGATTGATGGTCGTTCAGAGAAAAGAAATTGAACAAACCAGTCGTGTAAATATATTAAGCCTACGGGAATAGTTTATTGGCAGCTATAAATGTTTGGAAGTCGTGATCTAAGCGCATTTCGCACATTCAAATGCCATTCGGGACATTTATCTTTGGTTGTTTGAATCTGGAACTTAATTTGTACTTAAATGTAGTAAAATTTACTAGAAAATTATAGATTTTTTTGAAATTAAATTTTTCAGAGTTGGTCAAAAATGGTGGAGGCGCCGGGTTAAACACAAACAAACATTTTTTCAGCTTTTTAGATTACAATAGGGCAAAATTTCCTCACCTACAACATTATTTAAGCTAATTACAAAACTGTAAATTATTTTGTGTTTAAATGTAGTAAATTTTACTACAACATTTTTAATTTTGTTTTTTTGAAAAATGGTGGAGGCCCCGGGACAAAACACAAACCAAAGCATTTTTTCAACTTTTTATTACTAAAATATAGCAAAACTCCCTCACCTGCAACATTATCTAATCTAATTACAATTCTTTCAAGTTTAATGTAGAGTGAGTACACTTTAAAAGCATTTTAATTAAAGCAAGTCCGCATTTAAAATGCGAATTATAACAAAAACAAAGCAACGGATACCTTTATAAAAATGTTAATAAATACTTTTAACGGCACGAAAATTCCCCGAATGATGACCCCACAATTCATAATTAGCATTTCCATTACGTTGTTTACTGGAAAAAAATGAAAATTGCTTCCACAAGCTCGTGCGATGAGATTAAAATTGCCGATCAAAACACTCGGCAAATATATGTGTAGGGGGGAATAAATTACACGGTTTATCGCCACCACACCCGTTTTTCGAACACGCATTATCAATGTTGAGTTATAGAAAGTTGTGTTAATGTAATTAGGTTCCATTCGGGCGCTTTAAATCACCAAAAGTCGAACGCACAAAGGCCGAAGCCAGAACTAGGAACAATTATTGCCAAGGATGCGTTCGGTGACTCCATTAGGGAACAATGAAGCTTATTCTCATGAAATTGCACCACTTTGCATTCACTAATACATTTTTTGATATAATTTATACAGGGCTGTTTTGTTTTTATCGTTACAAATTTAAAACAGGTAAAAAAACATGCAATTTTAAGACAAAAGTTTCCTATAAACATGTTATGTAAGGGAGCTACACTTTTTGAAAAGGGTATGTTTTTTAATACGGTTGTATCGAAAAAACACATGAGACCTCTTTTTTGTGAACACTATGGAATTTCGAATTTTGTTGCTGAAAGTAGCAAGAAACTTCAGCCAAAATAGAATAGAGTATATATTATCCTAACTCAAGTTTAAAAAATATACCAAAAATATAGGATTTTCAACTTAATTTGCTAATTTTTTTGGCCCATTTGGGTGATATTTTACTTGAAAAAAGCAAAAATAATGTCGTTTTCGACCACTAATTTGGCTAATTTAGCAAAATTTTGTGAAAATAAATTAGTTTTGGCTTAAAAGCGTTTTTATTCGCTTGAAAATAGATGGAGATAATATAATTTTTTTTTATTTTTGGGCATGTTTTGATCAAAAACAATTAAATTGTTTTTTCAAAGTTAGGCAAAAACCACCATTTTCTATCTAATTAGGAAATTTCTTACCTTGCTTGAGAAAAATGTCGCAAAGGAAAAGTGTTTTTTAACTAAAAAAGTCAAAAATAAGGTCATCTTTGACCAAATTTGGTCATTTTTGCCAGAATTTTACAAAAATCTTTAAAAAACCGCTTTTAACTCAAAAACATGTTAAACACTCCAAAAGAAGCACTAACTTGGTGATTTTTTGATTGTGAATAAAATTTTTTGAAAAAAAAAATTGATTTTTAAGGTCACAAAACTAAAACACACTAAAATAGAACGTTAATTTAGTGACTTTGTGGCCTATTTTAGCAAAATTTTGCGAAAAAAAGAAGTTTTTAGCTCAAAAACATGCTTTTACTCTCACAAATGTCAAAAGTAGCATAATTTTCGATCTAATGTAGTAATTTTGGCCTTTATAAGCAAATTTTTTTATAAAAAGCTCCAAAACTTATTGAAACGGCAAAAATAGTATCATTTTCGATCTAATTTGGTAAGTTTTGGTCTGTTTTA